TGAAGCTAAATGTTGTGCAATTGCAAAATTAACAGCAGATTTGAATTTTAGTGTAAAAAACCATATTTTTAAATCCCTTACTGAAAAAAATAGCAAAAATTAATTTTCACCCCATTAAATGACACTTCCTAAATTGCACATTGGCATGAGGGATCACTCATAGCAGTAGGAAACAAAGTTTGGCTCTCTACTAGATTGTTAGCCATTTCAAGATCTTCCAAGAAGGTAGATGCTAAATTTATGGACCCATTTGAACTTCTCCACTAATCAACCTTTTAGCCTTCCATCTTCAATTAATCTCCTTTAGTGAAGGTGCATCCAATATTTCACTGAGCATTACTTTCCAAAGATGTCTTCCCCCTCAAGCACAATAAGATCCCAGGGACATCCTCCACCATCAGTCATAGTAGAGGGAGAACCAGAATATGAGGTGGAAGATACCCTAGATCTAGGAAAAGAGGCAAAGATATCCAGAACTTAATTCATTGGAAGCACTGTTACAAATTGTTCCTGGGAAAGTGCATGATACCTTCATGCCCCTGATTTCATTATCAGTTTCAACAGTGCTTCCCTGACAAGCCAAGGCTGACCAAGCTACTATCGTTTCATCCAATTTTTCCTGGGGAACCTGTAGAGGAAAAGTTAATCAGTTCCTCTGCATTCCTCCGGGGCGGAGGAGGGAGAATTGTCTATGATGGGCTTTCCACATCTGGCCTTCATTTCTCAGGAAGGGGAGTGGAACCTCTAAACAATGTTTGTGTGTTACAGCAACCACCAGCTGGCTGACCAGCTCCTGCAGAATAGTGGGAGGAGGATTCCTTTGAGACTGTCTCCTTCCACCCGTGTCAAGTTCACATGAGAACTCAGACTTTGAAGATACAATGCTGGAAGAGGAGGGGGGCCAAGGTGGAGGGATGGATAATGTAGTAGATGACCAGGCTGAGCCTAAGGAAGGGTCAAACATGTTATCAGCCATGAGTCCCGGCAGCCCACAAGACTCTATTTTAAATGCCTTTCTATTCTTAATTCTGCTAATTTCCCTTGACTGTTAGTAGTTCAGATTCTTGTAGAGAGTTTTAACTTGCAATAAATCTTTATACTCATTTGAATTTCCTGATTTCCTTGGCATTTAACAACATTGTAGTATATCTCTCAACTATTTATTTTTATAGTATTACACTCTGGTCTTTTGGAATTTGGAGAGTCTAAACAAAAGAACTTACACAATTTCCAGCAATAATAGGAAATGAATTCGTTATGTGTATGTATCATGAACAGAGCATAAAACATAAAATAATAGGGTTCGAAGGGGGCTTTTCCTCTTCAAGTAGGAACCCCTATGCCATTTCAAACAAATGACTGTCCAATCTCTTCCTGAAATCCTCAGTGATGGAGCACCAATAACTTCTGGAGGTAAGCTACTCGAATGATTAGGTGTTCTTACTGTCAGGATATTTATCCTTAGTTCTAGGTTGGATCTCATTATTTTATCCTCCCTCCATATGTGTATGTGAATTTATATGGGGAAGAGTGAGAGAGAATAAAATGATGATGATGGTGATGGTGATGATGTGACTGGAAAAAGAAATCAAAGGAAGTATCATTAATAGTTATTATTTATTAAATTTGTTTTGCTGCAAGGTGACTCTGGACGGCTTAAATAAAATCATACATACGTACATACATACATACAGATAATAACTAAAAATTATAACTAAAAGATGGGGAGGGAAAAAGCAGAATGTAGATGGGGGATGGGGGAAACTGCTATTAGTCCATCAACCAAATCCGGTGTGATATTCCCCCATTATGGCCCAAAGCCAGTTGGTACAGCCAGGTCTTCAGGCTCTTGTAGAAGGTCAGGAGAGTTTGAGCCAATTTCATCTCAGGGGAAAGATGTGCGAAAGGGCTGAGGCCTTGGCAAAAAAAGCTTCTCTGGACCCTGCCAATCAGAATTCCCTGACTGATGAGGTCCACAGCATGCTTCCTCTTGTCAATACCAGTGGGGCAGGCCAGTTTCAGTGGGGTGAAAAGGTTCCTCAAATAGCCTAGACCCATGTCATGTAGGGCTTTAAAGGTGGTAAACCAACACTTTGAATTGCACGTAAACAAATTGCACTTGCAGAAATAGCGGTATAACTCTAGGGACCACTCTAGGGGCTCTGTGGACCAGTCTAGGGGCTCGGTGCCACCTCATTGATCTCTTGCGACCTCATTGATATCTTTTCAGTGCTCTTTAAGGGTAGCTGTCTTGGGTGCACTTCCAAATTAGAATAACGGGGGTGGGGGTGGGGGGTAAGACCTGTAAGATGAATGTTTCTCCAAGGTGAAGTTTGTTATGTGGAAATAATTTGAGATTTCTGGATATCCTTTAATGCAGAGTTATATCAGCCTCTAGTGGCCTTTATGGAAAATATTTTAGAAAAGATTTTTTTTATTGCAAATCCAAATATATTCTGAAAATTGATCTTGGGTTTACTTTCATTCAGAACTGAAGCCCGCTCAGTTGTAGTAAACCTATTCAGATGAATGGCCTGAGATAACGTTTTATAGCTTTCCTGTCAAGTATTCGTGGGGGGAGAAGGAAGCACAGCTGCAATAAAAATAATGAACTTTCTTCGTATGTCTCCCACATTAAAATTTGAAAATTTGTCAAAGTCAAAAATAAACATCCTGATTCTCAATTTATTGAATATTGTTTCTTCTTTCTTTTTCCTTGACCTAATTTTATTAATAAATGTCTTCTTTCCTTTGTGAAACTTTAGAGACCTGAGATATCCATCCAAGAGAAGGAGGTGTTCTTAGATAATGTATTGATGTATTTATATGTATGTCCTGTCTGACTCCCATCCACTCTTTCTAATTAGAAACTAGAACCTTAATTTACCTTTTTCAAGAACAATTTCTTATCAAGGAAATGGAGTGATCGGGGCACTAATTTAACATTGATAAGATAACTTTCTAATTTTGTGTTAGAACATGAAATATCTGATATTTATATATTGAGTTTAATTTTAAATTAGAAACTTGAACATTCAATTATTGCAAACCAAATTTTAAAAAGTCAAATTTTGTATCTTGTTTTCATTTCAAAGGTGAAATGTTATGACTTAAGATCAGATTTTAGTTCATTACAATATTTTAAAGAAATAAAGAACATATTTCAAGTCTATTTATTCAGTGATCCTTTTTCTCTTCTCAGCATTATATTCAGAATGTTAAAGGGCACTTTACTAAACTGCTGATTCTGCCTTCTCACCCTTTTTAATATCTACATGAATCATCTGGGAAAAATCATATGTCAGTTCAGGATGATAGCCACTTACACATCTCCGTCCCCAGCCATCCAAGTGAATGTTGAGGTTCTGTCCAAGTGTCTGGAGGCAGAGAGGATACTAGAAAAGAACAGGATACAGCTCAGCTCTTCAAGACTGAATGGCTACGAATTCTGGACTTTCAAATCTGGGATATGCAAGATTGCAACATTTCTTTTTTTTTCTCCTTATAACTCCAGCAAAGTGTTCCAGAATCAGAATTAGTATCATCTGCATGCAATAAAGAATGCTTTGTTGTATTGTTCCATTCCAATATCAATTAAAAAAAACTTGGAAAGAGTTATCACTACCAAAGTGTACAGTAACAGAATATTTTGCTTAATGGAGCTAGTAAGACAATTTAAAAAGGCTTGGAATTGGCCATTTTCGGTTGAATGCAATGTTAGTGGCTAGGATCCAGAATGTAGAGTTAGGTGTATTCAAGAAATAGTGTTATGCATACAATGACCATACATTCTTTATTGTGACAGTAATTTATTTCAGAAGGCTGTTTTTAGAATTATTTATTTTTCAAAAACTCATTTTGTCTTTTATCTTGGTCACTTTTACTATTCAAATAGTACTGTTTAATGCAGTCCTTCACATTTATGTGAAAAATATGGAAATTGAATAATCTTTTAAAAATAAATCTGTTTATACTTTTGATTTTAGACATTTTTATTACAATATGCTTTTGAAAAGGTTTGTCTTGGTTTTGCTCTTCAATTTTCTTTTGCAAATGTTTTATCCTTATAAAACCTCTTTCAGATTTGCCCTATTTTCAGATTTATCTCCCCCCTCCCATAAAATACGCAGGTAGCATTTGACGTAGGACCACAATAGAGCCCAAAATCCCTGTTGCTAAGCAAGGCACTCGTTAAGTGAGTTTTAGCACATTTTATGACCTTTTTGCAAAGCTGTTAAGCAACTTATTGCAGTTGTTAAATGAATCATGCTTTCCCCATTGACTTTGCTTGTCAAAAGGCAGCTGGAAAGATTACAAATGATGACCGCAGGACAGTGCAATTGTCCTAAATACATGCCAGTTGCCAAACACTCAAATTTTGATCATTTGACCATGCAGATGCAGAAATGATTGTAAGAAAACCGTAAGTCACATTTTAGTGCCATTGTAACTTCAAAAGTCATTACACAAATGGTTGTAAGTCAAGGACTACCTGTAGTCTCCATAGCTATAAAATACAGGGTTTTTTCTCATTAAATACAACTTCCCAGATTGTATCACAACATTTTTTTTTTGAATATTTTCACTTGGTAAACTATGTTGGCTTAATGGCAAAAGTATGCTACACTTGGCTGCGTGAGTGAGTAAGTTACTGTCAGGATTTATAAACTTTGACAAACTTTTAAAACTTAATAATGTTGGTATAGGTACTTATTTATGTTATATGTAAATGGTTAATTAATTGAGGTATCCTATTACTACTCCCAAATTATTCTTTTAGATTAGAGATAAAGCACAGACTTTCTCAATCCAATCTGGCTCTGAGTTTGTTTTTCTGTATTCTTTATTATTATTGCACCTTTTTTTACATATGCATGGTATTTCATACTATAAACATTGCCATAGGGAAGTGGGGGAGGTATCATATATTTTTCTCTAAACAACATGCTCCACAACTGATTATAATAATCAGACAATTTTTAAATGTTTTGTCCTTTCAGAGAAATTGTACAACTCAAATGGACGGGAGTTAAGGCGGGCCCTCTTCTCCTTGAAACAGATATTTCAAGTAAGTGAACACTACTTCTTCATATACAATTTGTTTCTTCAGTAACTAATGTATTTTATTATTATTGCTGAGGGAAAGATGTTATTATTATTTTGCCACAACAGGTAATACAGTAAACCTCTAGGCCTAATATCTTTTTATCTGCTTTATTTTATTATTTGTTACTGTTACTTCTTAATGTCTTTCTTAATGTCAACCACACTTAGGATAATTCACAGAAAGTTCCAAAGAAGCTTCACAGTAATTACTGAGGAAGCAAGAGTATCTGCAGAAAGGCCAGACAGATGAGCAATCAATATAGCAGCCACAACTAGGCAGTTAAAACCTATCCCATTTTACACAAGTCATGTGTAAGAAAAAGATAAAACTTACATCATGTGATCATAGCACTATCTTAACTTTTTTAACTCCACTTCGACAAGGAAAATAAATTTAAGAAACCTCAATATATTCTCAACATAAATAGAAAACTTCTTAATTTTATTTAGTATGAAGTGTGGAGATGTGGAAAAAGTGTGCAAGGACTAATGAGATGGGATTTACAAATTGTGAAATTTCTTTATTGTGTCACAATATAAAAATCAGAACCATCACAATTTTTAAATAGACGAATAATGTTTCTATTACTTTACAGTGCTACTATATTGCAATGTTACTACTTTCATGCACAAAAGCGGATGGAACCTTCAGACTTTATTATCCATTTCTGTGAAATACTGTTGAATCATAAGGTCTTGTTTATGTCATGACAAGTGCATTAAACTAAAAAATGGCTGATTTATGATATATTCATAAACACACATGGATGCATGCACACATACATGCATATGTCCAAAGTGTTTTTGATTTTTATAGGTAATATGAGCAAAACCAAAGTCATAAGAATTACAAAATTATACACTTGAAAAGGTTCCATTGGACCACTGAATCCGAGTTTCCATTCAGCACAGGAACACCAGCCAAACATCCCAGATAGATGACTGGCTGGCTTCTGGTTTGGACACCTCTATGCAGACACATCACCATCTCAAATGAAACTTATAGCTATTGTATCATCTGCAAACTTCAGTACTTTAACAGAAAGATCTCTATAGATGCAATCATTGGTATATAGATAGAAGAGCAATGGAGAGAGCATACAGCCCTGAGGAGCACCTAAGGTCAATTGCCCAGGTATTAGATACAATTTTTCTTAGCTTCACTTGTTGCTTCCTATCTGTCAGAAAGCTTATAATCCACCTGCAGGCACAGATACTTGATTCAGTTTAAAGTAAAGAATTTCTGAAATGATGGTATTGAATGCTGAGCTGAAATCTATAGGACCTTCACATAGATCTCCAGGGATTCAAGATGTTGCAAGATATAGTGCAGTGCCATGTTGACAGCAACATCTGCCGATCTATTTGCTCTGTAGGCAAACTGCAAGGTGGTCTAACAGTACATTCATAAAGGTTTTCAGGAGGGCCAGCACTAACCTTTCAAAGACCTTTATAGCTACAGATGTTAAAGCAATTGGTCTGTAGTCATTTAGCTCACTGATTGAGGCTTTCTTAGGAATCAGGATGATAGTAGAGTCTCTGAAGCAAGAAGAGATATACCGGTAATACACCTACAGTGATTTATTAAAGATGCAGTTGAAGATACGTTGTTCAGCACAGATTTTCAAGCAAGAAGGAGCTACTCTGTCTGGGCTTGGTGGTTATCCATTCCTTTGCTTATGAAATAGACCTCACACGTTTTTCGAAAATCACCAGAAGTGGGGGGCCCAGAATAATGGAGATAGATGTAGGAGAGTTGGCTGCTGTTGGAATGGAGATAAATGTAGGAGATTTGGCTGCTTACTTATCTAAGGTGAGGAAGGTAACTAGATGACAGTGATCTCCTCTCAAACCTACAGATCAGATCATCTGCCAATCAACAATTCTCTTCAGTAAAGAAGGGAGGTCTGCTGTAGCCAATGATGTTCTTCACTGTTGATGGTTTATTACCTGAGAAATGGTTTCTCAGCTGTTTGGAGTAGCTTCCCTTTGCTACCCTGATCACCCTTGTTAATATATTCCTGGTCTGATTGTAAAAAGTCCTGCCTTCTTTGTTGTAGGTCTTCTCTTTGGCATGATGTAGCTGCTTGAGCTTAGCTGTGAACCAAGGCTTATTATTGTGATATATATAGGCAAGTTGTGATAGGCACACATACTGTATGTCCTCACAGAAGCTAACATATGATGTCAAAGTATCAGTGAATTCATCCAAGTCTGCTGAAGCACCTTCAAAAGCACTCCAGTCTATGCAATCAAAGTAAGCCTGTAGCTCTAACATTGCTTTCTGAGTCCAGGATTTCACTGTTTTGACCACAGGCCTTTCAGTTTTAAGTTACTGCCTGTAGATTAGGATTAGATGGATGATATAATGATCAGAGAGACCTACAGCCACTCTTAGGAATGAGCGGTAAGCACCTTTTAATGTGGTGTAGCAATAGATCCAATATGTTGTTGCCTCTAGAGAGAAAGCTGATGTGCTGAGTGTATCTGGACAGCTGAAGAGTGAGATTAGCTCTGTTAAAACCCCTAAAACGATGTGTAGGGAGTCTGGGTATTTCCATTCTGTGCACAGAATCTGGGCAGCTAGATTTGCAACACACTGCTTGCAAGCCTGGGGTTTTATATAAGCCCCAATCAAGATGAGTGAGGATAACTCTTGTGGAGCATAAAAGATGTGGCCATTTATGAATAGTGTTTTTAAGGCTACACAGCAAAATTTCGTTAGTATTGTGACATCCTTGTATCATCGGTTATTAACATAGAAGCAGATTCCCCCCTCACCTCTTTTTCCCAAATGTCTCCATAACCCAAGCCATCATTTGAAACTGAAATCCAGGGATCTATGTGTCCTCAATAGTCTCACTGAGTCAAATTTATGTAAAGCAGAGAACTGCTGAGTTAGAAAGAATTGTCCAAATTTAGAAGGAGCAGTTCATCTAATTTACTGACTAGTGAATGTAAGTTTGTTAGGTGAAGCGATGGGAGTGGAGTCCTAAGTCCTCTTGCTTCTCAATCTTACCAGAATGCCTCCATGCCTTCCTCTTCTATGCTTCCTTTGTTTTCTCCAGTTTTTTTCCCCTCTAGCTGTTGAAGAGAGCCACTGCTGTGCCAATTACAATATCTACATATCTTCCCTCTGTCTTTGAGGGAAGACAGGAGAAACCAAAGGAGGAATTATTCCTAGAAAGTTGTCTGATGTTCAGAAGCCCATTTTTGGTGAATGTAATCCACCATGAGTCACAGAAAATAAAAATAAAAACCTTAAAAACACAAGGGAGCATTTCACTGAGGCTGCCACTAATCGATATCCAAAAGTTCTGTTTAAAATAATGTTCATTTTATTAGGAATCACGCAGTAGGAAAAAGAAACGTGGATGTTGAGTTTACTGAAAATAATGTGATTCACAGAGTAAGCCTAAACATTAAAAAAAAATCTATCCAAATGGAGATTAAGCCTCAGGGAAAAATAAATGTAAAGGGAATCTTATAAAGCTTTGAATGCAAAATAAAATAATATAAAGCTATCTAATTCTGAAAGCCTTTTTCTCCTAGACATCTGTGCATGATGAGTTCTCTTCTCAGTTTCAATATTGTAATTCTCATTCCACAGCCTGTAATGGTTCTGTTTTCTCACATTAGCCAGCCTTCTCCTAAGAAAGTTGACAAGCAAATACCTGCAGCAAATTACTTCCTTAAGGACATACCTGTTGAGATTCTCAGTCTTCCAGGTCATGGTTGTCCCAAAGGTGCTTTTTCAAGAGGCAACTGGACCTTCTTGTTTTTTTTCTGAAAACATTTTGCTTCTCATCCAAGAAGGACAGTTATTCATTGTCTGAAGTGGTGTAGGGTTTCCTGCCTAGGCATGGGGTTGGACTAGAAGACTTCCAGGGTCCCTTCCAACTCTGTTACTCTATTCTGTTCTATTTGTCAATCTTTCAAGGTAGCCCAAAGATGTGATGTACAAGTCTTTTTACTATAAGATTACAGTAACAGACTCTTTCAAATTTGAATACACTTCTCTACTTTCTTCACTGAGCCGAAGGGAGAATCCAGGATGGGTAGTCTCTAGTCTCCTAGCTCTGCAGACCGAGTTTAAAAACTGAGGACACACCCCCTGGTAACGGTCCCCAGTTCTTCACTCGGTCTCAGCATGTTCAGACCTCCCTTTAAGGGCTCTGAATAGTTAGGATTGTAGAAGAATATTCACCTCCTGGATTAAGCTTTTTTTCGCAGAGAGGCTTAGATCAGGTTTGACAACTAGCTGGCTTGCCAGTTTAGCACTTTCCTTTTTTTCGCGCCTTTTCTCCGGTTCGCGTTTTTTTGCTTTTTTTTTTTTTTTACTTTCCTTGCTGGTGGACTGATTTTTGTTGTGCCAAAACTTGAGTGGAGGTGACCCTGAGAGCCCATGTGGCCCGGCTGGGGCGGCAGTCGGCGTCTTATTTAACTCAACTTCTCCTGATCCACTTTCCCTTGCCTGGGATGAGCCGCAGCTGCTGCTAAGTGCTTCTGTCCCATTTCGGTGGCAGTGGCCATTTATTTCATTTGGGGACAATCTTGCAATTCGTCTCCAGGATTGTCCCTGGGGGGGGGGGGTTCTGGCCATCGGGATTAAATCCTGACCCCCCCATCCAGTCCCCAGAGCACTGTGGCAGCTGCAAGATGCTTGAGTCTGCCTGATAATTGCGGTGCAGCCAGCGCCAGGCTCGCAAGCCTCTGACCTGTCAGGGCTTGCTGCAATTCAAAGAGGCAGCCGTTTTTTCAACTTTTTTTTCCTTGACTCAGCTTTTGAATTGTGGAGCTGGGCTGAGCTCACCACTTTGGGTCGCACTAGCCTCCTGAAGTGGTGGACAGCTACTGTGGCTGTAGCTGACAGCTTAGGCTGAATATATTTTTTTCACTTCTTTTTCCCTTTCTCTATCCCTGTCAAGTGACAGTTATTTTTGGCGGGCTCAAAGATGGCCA